AAGGCATTTGTTTGCTGATTGAGCCATTTTTGAATTAACACATGTAGTGAGAACAAAGTATCTTTGGTTCCCAGACCACTTTAAATACCGAATTGTTTCATTTATATATTCATCAATACTGTTCCATAATCTAGAGTAGGGATATGCAAAAACATATTTAGCGTATAACAGATAAGGTTTGTCGGACTTGTTCCTTGCATCTTTTCGAGTTTGTCATTTAGTGTTTCAGATGTGGATTACAGCCATTGTTGGGGTTTCTCCGGCATTGTGAATTCGATTAAACAAATTGAGTAGAAGATTTATATTTTCATCGTCTAATAGTTTGAAGATTTCAATATTTTGGGCCCGACAACTTTTCAACAATGACGCCGCTAAAACAATGTCGGTATTAAGACCTCCAAGTCTTTGAAGTTTTAGAAGATTTGCCCTAGCTTGTTCGATTCTACATTTTATCCCATGTTTTGTTAATCAAATATCCCAAGTATTTAAATTGTGTGACCTGTTTGATGATCTCTCCATTTAAATGAACTCTGATTTTCGGAATGTTGTTTCTACTAACAGTCGTAAGTTTAGCTTTTCTAATATTCAATTTTATACTCAGTGTTTGGCTTTCGTCATTGACCTTATTTAGAAGAATTTGGAGATCATTTGAATTGTTTGTCAATATCACGGAGTCATTCGCATATCGGATATTATTAATTGGAATGACATTTATTTTTAAACCAATGGGACTGTCGGAGATTGACTCAATGACTATTCTTTCCATCGTGCGTCCACAAACTGAATAACATTGGAGAGAAATGTCGTACGTTTTATTTCCAAACCTTTTGTTACTCCCACGATATGGTATGGAGTAACAAGTATCTTAATGAAGTTAATAAGTATCTTAATGGAGTTAACTCGCGTATATTGTACAATATTTTATCTACGTAAAACTATAAAAACACACAATACATTTTAAAAATTATTGTACTTAACTATATACCTATACTAAAAATCAATTACCTTAATACCTTTGTTCAAATAACACCATGCATGGCAATGTCAATATGACAGTAAATAATATTGATGTCACTCTCGATGTCACTAGTTTAAAAAATGAGCGATTCGGAAAGTATTTCCTCTGACATTTAAGAAGAGGCATTCAGAGCCATTTCTGAATTTCAAAACAGAAGTATGGATATACATTATACATACTCTAAGTATGAAAAATGGTGCACCGAAAAAAAAAGTACACAACTATGAAAATGAAAAGGTACTCATAACATATATTTTTCCAATTTAGTGGAAAATAAATGTTTTACAAAATATTTTTTTTTCTCTTTGGTAGTCGTCTAAACAAGGAGTGCGGTAATGAAAATGCGTGAGTTAAAAGCTTCTTAACTCACTGACGGTAGATAAATATTATAAGTAATTTATTGTAGAACCACAAAAAAAAGCGATAAATTAGAAGTAGTACAGGGTATTTTATTATTTTGGTTACCACAAGGTACAAAAATGCCTTTTTTTGCGAAAAATATTTCGGTTAGACAAAAGTTATGTTAAAATAATAAAAAAAAGTTAATAAATACATAATAAATGTCTATACCTATGTGGCGGATTCATCTCTCCAAAAAAAAACCTAAAACACGTATTTATTAATCACGCAGCAGTGTTTACAAAAAATAACTATTTTATTTTGTAGATTTTCTTGCAGTGGCGAAATACCCATACAGGATTTTTTTGGAGTTAATAAATACATGTTATTATTATATTCTTATCTACATAAGACATTTCTGGGAAAAATAAGTAATAAAGAAATCATAAAAAAAATTAAATTAGACAATAAAATATGTAAATTATGGATTATATTATAATAGTGGAAAGTCCAGAAAAAAATTCAATAGTATCAAGTCATTAAATTGCCAGGTGACCTAGTTTTTCGGCAGAACTGGAATACAAAGCTTCCGCATAGAATCCAGCACACAAACTTATTCCCCGCTCTAATAAACTTTCGCAAACTTTGAAATACTGTAACTGCAGCTAAACACGCGTTAACTATTAATTAATTTATATCAAGTTCTGAGCCACAAATAACAATCTTTTGAAGTCGGCGAAGCAGGTATAATTTCGTTCCCGAGAACAATACTCGACGAAAATTGGAATTATGATATAAGGCGGCTTTGGGGTAATTTCAGATTCAGAAACGCACAGTTTTGGCAATATTATTAAATAAAATGTTAAAAACTAATTGCTAAATTGTCTAAAAACAACCATTAGAGTGAATGTAATAAATATATTATTTTCTATATTGAAATAGTTTTTTTTGAACGGGTAACTAAATCTAAAAATGTTGCTTAACAGTTTCTCAGAGGTACCAGATTGTAAAATTGTTTCTATTTTTTACACTAAACTGAGACATAATTTATTCTGCGATAATATACAGGGTATTCACATTAAAAAATCATCCTAATCCACTTACACACATATTTGTTGCATGATGTGTAATGTATGTAATGTTACACATCTTTTTCTTCAATAAAGACGATTATTAATATTATTATTATTTTCCTGAAATACATCCTAGTCCATACTTTAGGTTTGCACTTAAACAAGTCCCAAGTTTTTTATTCTAGGATCTACAGATGCCCGCACTATGATACGGACTATTGCCGAACCCTGTAGATAGGGTACCCTGTATACGATATACCAAACTTGCAAAATTTTCGTTAATTATAAAAGTAATATTGAAAGCTTTGATGTAATAGACACACCCCCTAGCGGAGACTTTTCGAACATAGAAATAATTTCTAGCGATATCATTTGACCAGCCGCTAGCCGGCGGCATCCATTCTTAGTTGGCCACCCGGTACATTGCGAAGCAAGTAGGTAGCTATCATCTCATAAGTATATGTATTTTTGCAATAAGACTAAGGTCATGGCAAAGTCCCTTATTTAGTATCAAAAAACCATATCTACAACATTTTTCTATTTTAATAATTTATGTAATTGTTACGTTATGGAAATGCAATGCTACCTTGATCGTTGATAATAGTTTGAACAATGAGAAGAAACATTTAAAACTTTATTCTTGTAAATAGATTTCATACGATAATAATTTACATTGGATGTCTATATAAGTGTTTAATTTTCATTTGAAAATTTAGTTTTAATGATCAACTGATGATTGTTGGAGAAACCAGTGTATAGAGTTTATGTAAGTGTAGAGTAAGAAATTTGTGTAATATTCAGAAAATCAAATGAAGTCACCATAAGCCAGTTTTATAATTATTTTTAGACACTGCTAACTTGTATATTCCATAAATATTGATGAAAAAAGTTTAAATACGTTTAAATCGCCTGAAGTTTCATACAATGTTAATACTTTTCGAAGTTTTACATCGCTTATAAAAATGCCGAGAATTTTAAAATACAAAAAAGTTAATCAGGGGCATATTTTTTACGTCGAAGAGTTACTGTGAAACTATTCAGATATTTTAAGAAGTTCAAAAACAACAAACGCCTCCAGATAGAAAGCAAAGCGCAAGCAGCAAAGCTAAACTTAAAATTGTTTCCGGTGAAACTTTTCTTAATAAAATGTTTTAGCCTGGACGAGAAGCTTGAGAAAGTTTTAATTTTTCGTCTGGCCAACCTATAAAACTGTTTCCTGTTTTCGTGGAATTGAATTCTTTGCCTTTATGTAATTTGACTAGAAAACGGAAATATTTGCAACTGGAAAGTCTCCGGAGGAAAAATTGCATAATAAAAATGTCAATCCGGACAAACAAACGATATTTCTTTAGAAAAAAAAACAATTCCGGAGAAATAAAATCTTACGAAAGAAAAATTCTTGATGCGATTTTAATACAGGATTGCTTAATGATTTTCAACTTGAAATGGGTGTTAATATATTGCAATAACACACTTTTACAATTTTTACAACCTTTATTTGTTATTACTCTAAATTATAAATTTTAAATATACTCCTACTTTGATTAATTTACATATAGTATTGTGGTTACTGATTTGTGAAATAATATTATGCATTTACTCATTATGTATTATGCATTTACTCATTTATTATTTCATAATGATTCAACTAACAATTCTAATTCATAAGAAAGGCGGCAAAGAAGACATCAGAAACTATAGACCAATAAGCCTACTATGAGTAGTAACGTATAACATATTTACAAAAATAATAAACAACAGAATACAAAACACGCTAGATGCTGATCACATACATACACTAAGAGAAACTATCAGCCGAACAAAAGAATACAAACTTCCACTAGCCATAGCCTCTATAGAGAAGGCTTTATATTTAGTCTTTATGAGAAGGCTTTTATATATATATATATATATATATATATATATATATATATATATATATATATATATATATATATATATATATATATATATATATATATATATATATATATATATATATATATATATATATATATATATATATATATATATATATATATATATATATATATATATATATATATATATATATATATATATATATATATATATATATATATATATATATATATATATATATATATATATATATGTTAGATTTTATCTTTCACTTTTATTATTTTAAAAAAACATTAAAATACTTAAAAACACTTTATTAAGTTTTAATAAAGATACAAAATTATTATATGAACTTCGATACGACACGGATACGAGTTGCGTTCGAGAGTTGTTCCTCCTGGGAAAGAGATCGGCTTAAATATTCTTAAAGTTGCTGAGTCTTCGCTTCCCATCATGGAACTGCGACTTGTTTACTGAAGAGACCATGGGAACATCGTAGTTGGAAAGATTCTCAAGAAACATAATATGATTGTTTATGAGTTATATTAGAACGAACTTATACGTTTAACTTTGGAATAAACAATGAATAACAATAAATAAGTATAAAGAGTAAATAAGGTCATTTGAAGGTTAAATATGGATATAACAACTCCCCCTTTTAGATAAAAGTTAACGCGTGGAGATAACTTTTAGACTGAATTCTTGTTAGGATTAAGTTCAAAAGATTCTTCTTCAATAGGTTCTTCTAAATGGATACTGGGTCTTCTACGAGGCAGTATTTTCTTCCATTTGGAGAAAGTGGATTCAACTTGATTTCTTGGAGGTGATGGTGGGTAGTCATCATGAGAAATTGCAATTCCAATTCGTGATCTTCTACGGGATTTGCATTTGCAGAAGATGTAAATCAGGACCAAGGTGACAATTACAATTATGGTTAAAATTGTAAACCAACCATGGTGTTTCTTCACAAAAGGTTCATTGATCAAATTGTTCAATTGTTCGGAATATTCATTTAACTTGTGATTTGCAACACTCAAATCTTCTAGATTCAGTTTGCTCAATTTCAGTGGTTTCAGATTTGGAATCTTGATCTTCTCAGGAATATTACTGCAACAACTATATGGTATTTGAATTGGAAAAGTATTGTATGTTACATTATCATAAACATTAATGTCTTTTTGACCTTGAATTCTTGTACTGCCAACAAAAGCAATACATTCACTTTGTAACTTTAAAAGAGTATTATTATTTAAGATTTTTGTAATAATGTCTCTATTTCCACATTTAATTGTTAATGGTAAAGGATCTGAGATAATTATTAACCAAAAGTTTAAATTTAATTTGTTTATGTTATATTCTTTTGCCATGATCAAAGAAGATTGACAGGTTCTTGGCAGGTGATCTTGTTGCTTCAATAGTTGAGCTTCACATATAGCATCACTATCGATTGGATATGGAAATATGTTGGAACAAATTCTTGTTTTTCTGCCTGTTGATTTGCAAGCTTCTGGATCTTCAATTATTATGTACAACAATGAATCATCGCTACGCGCAATATATTTATAAGTTGTACTTAAGATATGATGTAAAGCAGTACGATGATCTAACAAAGGAATTGGATAAATTCGATATAAAGTATACTCTTCAGGTTCAACTAAAGGTATATTTAGAACAAATACTACTTTAGAATCTAACTGATAAGCTTTCAATTCAATAATATCTAGATACTGAGGTATCGATGTGGCAGAAATTGGTAATGGAAGATTATTTCTCTTTAATGATTGAGATATATGCTTTAGCGAGTCAACCAAGTCATTTGGAGTAATTATAGAACTATGCAATATTTTTAATCTTGCAAAAGTTATTGAATTTATAATATCATCAATTTGATTTTCTAAAAAGGTATAGCTTTCCATAAGAGATTCACAAATATTTAAAATATCAATTTGTGATTGGAAATAATTTAATTGATCTGAAATGTCCATTATTGATTTTCTTATTTCTTTTATATCATTATTAAAAGTCTCTTCATCGATTTGTAATTTTTGAATTGTAGAATTAAACTTTTAATTACAGATGTCGTTACAGATATTTGATTTTTTAATAAGTTTTCTATTTGATATTCATCTTTAGTTATTTTATTTATACAATCATTATAATATTCACCATCAGAAGCATCTAAATTACCGGTTATTGATTTCCATACTGTCCCAATGCCATTAAATATATCACGCTTTTCTCTATAAATATACTTATTCGTATCGCGTATTATTTCATTATATTTTGTATTAATTGATCTTGATATTTGTAATAAAAGACTTATATGCGTTTTAACTTCTGATTTAAAAGCTATCATTCGTGGTGCATCTTCTTCTAAAGTGTTTAAAATATTATCTAATATTTTATCATTATTTAAAATAGTATTTTTAATTAATTCTAAATCTTTATAAACTAATAGTGTCCATTTATCATTGGATACTTTTATTTGTCCGTCTTCATGTAGGTACACCCGACTGTATTGTTGATTGGTGTAATAACATACTGGGAGTATACTATGGATAGTAGTAATCCAATAAATCTGAAAAGAAATTATTCGTGATTAACCATATCACGATTAAATTAAAACCAATTTAATTAAACCATTTTTTTTTTCAAAACAAAATTAATTTTAGATGTTTGAGTCTCAGGGTAATTCTATTAAACCGGCAAAATTTTTAAAAAAATTTCTTTTTCAAAATGTTCGTTAAATATGTTTTGATTCTTACTCTGTGAAAATTTATCTTGTGATTACGATAATAATCTAGTATTTGAGGTTTTTCATCATCTACTGGAGTTCTAACAATATCTTGACAAATTGTTAATTTAATTTCTTTCGTGAAATCTGCGAAAATATAAGAAAATATTTTTAATATTGGAAGTTCTATTTGATTTTCAACGTAGTACGTTTCTGCTAAGTTAAATTCATTTTGTTCTTTATATAAAATATAAAATAAAAGAGAAACTACTGTAGTTGGATCAAAATCGAGAGGGATTATATAGTATTTCCTGTTTTTAACAGTTTTACTATTAAAAATATTTATTCTTTTTAAATGAAAGTCTGGATTTTCTTCTAATATGTCGTCAATTATTTTATGATGAAATTCTTGTATTTTATTTTGCCAAAAGAATGTAATTATATTTTTATGTTGTTTATCTAATAATTGATTATTGGTAATATTTATTTTTGAATAATCAATCAATGATTGAGAGTCATATAAAGTGACAAATTTATTATATTCATTTTTAATTCTATCATCGATATCAATATCATTATCAGAATCTTCATTTTCAATTTCTTCATTTTCATTTTCATGTTCACTATCAGGTGTATTTTCGTTTGAGGCAAAAATAGGAAAATTTGTTTTTGAAATAAATTGTGCGCATTTTTTGAAATGATTGATTTTAATTCTAGATAAAGCATCTGCATTTTTATTTGCTTTTCCAGATTTATGAATAATTTTGTAATCATATTCTTCGAGTTTTAAACGCCAACGAGCTAATCTGCTGCCAGGGTCTTTAATAGAAAATAACCATGTTAAAGGGCGATGATCTGTTATTAAAGTAAATTTACGACCAAAAAGATATGGACGAAAATGTTTAACTGCCCATACGATTGCCAAAAGTTCACGCTCTATAGTGGAATATTTTGTTTCAGCGCCGCAAAGGGTTCTAGAAGCAAAAGCAATAGGTAAATCTTTTCCTATGTGTCCTTGTGAAAGAACGGCTCCTATAGCAAAAGCACTAGCATCTGTTGTTAATAGGAAAGGTTCTTCAAAATTTGGATATATCAGAATAGGATTTGAAGTCAAAGAATTCTTTAATTCTTCAAAAGAATCTAGACAATCCTGATTAAAAATAAATGGAACATCTTTTTGCAAAAGTCTTGTTAAAGGCTTTGATAATTTTGCAAAGTTTGAGATAAATCGACGGTAATATCCAGCTAAGCCTAAGAAAGATTTTATTTCTTTCGGATTTTTGGGTTGTGGAAAATTTTGAATACATGAAACTTTTTCTGGATTGGGTTTAACACCTTCTGGAGTTATTAAATGTCCTAAGTATGCAACTTCTTTTTTAAGAAATTCACATTTATCTGGTTGTATTTTAAGATTTGCCTTTTGTAATCTTTGAAAAACTTCTTTAAGTCTGGAAATGTGTTCATGAATAGTTGGAGAATAAATTATTATATCATCCATGTAAACTAAACATCTTTCATTTTGAATTCCTAATAAAATATTGTCCATGACTCGTTGAAAAGTCGAAGGGGCATTTTTAAGTCCGAATGGCATTCTGACAAACTCGTAATGACCATTTTCTACAGAAAAAGCCGTTTTGGAAATATCTGAAGGATTGATTTCAATTTGATGAAATCCTGAAGCAAGGTCAAGTGTTGAGAAATATTCACATTTACCTAACTGATCTAAAATATCGGAAATATTAGGTAAGGGGTACTTATCATCGATTGTAAGTTCATTTAACTTCCTATAATCAATAACAATACGCCATTTCTGTTTTTTAGAAGCATCTAATTTTTTTGGAACAATCCAAACTGGAGAGGACCAAGGAGAAATTGAAGGACGAATAATACGTTGCTTTAACATGTTACTGATTTGTGTTCTAACTTCTTCTTTGTGTATTTGTGGGTATCTGTAAGATTTAGTGTATATTGGTTTAGCATTGTTTGTATCAATTGAGTGTTTAATTTCATTTGTAAAAGTTAAGACATCATTTTCTAAATAGAAAATATCTTGAAATTCGAGACATAAATTAGTTATAAGTTCTTTTTCTTCATCATTTAAATGATCAGTCCTAAGTTGTGATTTTATTGTTTGAATTCTATCAGTTTGATTTGAATTTGGAAAATAATTATTTGTTTGATAATTATTATTTGTTTGATAATTTAAAATTGTTTGTGAAATGTAAGGTTCAATTTGAATATCGGAAAAATTAATTGATTTTGGAATAGCATTACAATTAATTATTGATGTCAAAAATTCTCCATGTTCATTAACATGAACTAACGCATTTGGAATATAAACTTTTTCTTTGTCTTGTTTAGATAAAATTGCATCAGTATTTTGTAAATTACATTTTAATTTAAAAATTTGTTCTGTTCTTCCATTAATATTTATTTCATTTTTAATTTGTTCAGAATTTAAATTTTGTTCTCTCAGTGTATCTTCAATTTTAAATAAAGGCACCGTTTTAAAATTTGTTATCAATTTTCTATTTTTTAAATCAACTGTGCATTGATAATGTTCAAGGAAATCTGATCCTAAGATTCCGTCAAAGTCTATATCTAAGTTGTAAATAAAAACTTTGTGAGGATCATTTGTTTTAAAAGGAATTAAAGTAGACTGAGTTATTAATAATTTCTCGTTAGTAATTCCTTGAATTGAAATATTTTCTGGTATTCTTTGTGGATATTTTTTAACTGTGTTTTCTTTAAAAATTGAAATTCCTGCACCTGTATCAATTAATATTTTGTATGTGTTTGTTATGTCATTAATGTAGTATAAACTTTTAATGTCTACAGTGAAAAAAGGTTTTAAGTAAATTTCTGTTCTTGGGATTGATTCGTATGGTTTAAATTCAAAGTTTGAAAATTCGTTTGAATTTCGTTTGTGTCCGTTTTCTGTGTATCCGGAGGATGGTTTTGGTCGGAACGCAAATGAAAATTTTGCTGTTGAGCATTATCGTAGTTTTGATAGTCATCATATTCTTGCTCAGAGTAATAATTCGAATAATCTTGAGAATTTGGAGAATTATCATAAAAGTATGTAAGAATGTCTTAAATAAAAGTCCTTTAGACGAACTAAACTTTTAATTAAAGAAAATTCTAATAATCCATTTAATAATACTTCATAAAAAAATAGAGCTTAATATATCGCGTAAGAGGACACCGGTCTTGCTACTTGGTTTCGCACGATTCGTCTGTCGTCGCCACTCCTATCCCCAAAACTCCGTCGCCTCTACGTTGCGTCGGTCAGTTCTGGGAATCCCTCGCTTGCAATATTCGGTGGCCCATTAATCTTACATATTCGGCCATCCTGACCCTGGACTGTCCTCAGTCTGTTCTGCGTCTGTGTCTGAAAAATCAAATAAATTCAAACCCTTCCCCTTTCAGATGAATACAGCATTCTAGAATGCAATCACCATCTCACTACTATGGTGAGCCTGGCATTGTAAAATGCTATCCCTTGCTCAAAGTCTTTAATAAGATGAGCCTGGCATTTGAGAATGCAATCACCATCTCACTACAATGGTGAGCCTGGCATTCTAAAACGCTATTCCAACTCATTCAAAACATTTTCATTAGGTGAGCCTGGCATTTGAGAATGCAATCACCATCTCACTACAATGGTGAGCCTGGCATTCTAAAACGCTATTCCATCTCACTCAAAACGTTTTTATTAGGTGAGCCTGGCATTTGAGAATGCAATCACCATTTCACTCCAACGGTGAGCCTGGCATTCTAAAACGCTATTCCATCTCACTCAAAACATTCTTATTAGGTACATCATGCCTTGTTTCCGTCCTGACGGATGTTTATAATATGAACAATTTAAGCACGATTTTATGTACTTGGATACGAACTGGCGCATGCTTGAAAACCAGTAATTTTCTTTAATTTTAGTTAACGATTTTTCCAATGCAAAGTGACCCATATCATCATGATATATTTTACATATTTGCCATCTATTGCCTTTAGGCACCAACCATGCCAACTTTCCATTTTCAAGTTTTCGATAAACCTTTCCATTTTTTAGCTTGTAACAATCAAAATATTGTTTAAAATCAATTGTATTACCGTCTTCCAGGATATTCTTGATTTTACTGATATGCTCGTCTTGAAGTTGTGCTGCAAGAATCCAGTCTTCTTCAGTCAAATCTATCTGAGCCACCTCAGCTACTGGATTTCTACTCAGTGCATCAACATGACTCATGG